CTCCACACTGGCAACATCAGCTGGATGTGCACTTAAAACAAAAGGTAGGTTCTCCGAGGAGACTAAAAAATCCAGTGGAAACATTTACCGTGGGGACTCCCTGGCAAAACCAGCACGCTCAAGCACCGAGCTGAACGTGTGACTGTTGTGCTTGTCAAGACTTCCCATTCTGTTCGTTTTTCCTTCTGACTACACTTGATTGCCAAGAAGTGAATAAAACATCACTAGCGATAGGGATGGAAGGGGTGCCTTTAAGGCATTTAAGACCCATCCAAAAGATGGACACCACGGGAACGCAGGCAGTAGTGTCATGACTGAAACACCAAAGCCTTTTTCCTGGTATTCTTCCTACGTTTGGTGCTAAGCAGCTTGTGAAATTATACTCTTTTTTCAATCTCTTTCAAAAGGTTATTCCAGTTATTTCACTATCAATAGCAGTATCCTCTTTACAATCATCCACACAATACCATAATCGCACATTGTGCTTTGCAAACAAAGCAGAAGAGCAGAAGTTTAGCCCAGCTCAAGGAGGCCCAGCTATTACTGATACTAAAGAGCTCACACTCCTTTCAATGTTAAATTTAGCTCCTATTTCCCAGCCTAAAGAGCTTGTGACCTACGAGCCAGTCTCAGCAACATCCTCTTTCACACCTGCTATCCCAACTGTAGGAAAGAAAAAAAATCTGCGAGAGTTGACTGCTGCTCATTAGAAGGACCAGGGATCACGTCATTTGGCAGGAGGAAAGAAAACAGAAGCCCCCAGCACATCTAGAAAACTGACTGTCCGTGACTCCCAGAAGGTACGATGACAATCCCTAAACACCAGGCAGTGAAACACGCCTGTGCTCAGACAGTTGTGCTTATACAATAAACACTGAGTGGGAAGCACACACACGAAGACGACTTTTCGATGCAGTCCCAGTCCAGATTAAGCTGTTTGCTGCCCAATCCTCCTCTGCAACCCAGGTAGACACATCCTGTTATCATGATCCGATTTCCTAAGAGGAGCTGCATCACCTCCGGCGCTGCTTGTCAGATTTCATGTGTTAAAATAGGTTGGGATGGGTCAGTATTGCTATGTGAGGACATCAGGATGATGTAAGGAAAGGTAATGGCACTCTTCCTTCTCCGACTCATTAGTGTGCAGTAATAAGCCAGAAATAGACCTTGGTGACAGCAGA